ACTCTTTGCCACCCCATGGACTACACAGTCCATGGAATTCTCCAGGCCAGAATACTGGAGTTTGAGCCTTTCCCTCCTCCAGGGGATTTTCCCAATCCAGGGATCGAACCCAGGTCTTCCATATTGTAGGCTGATTCTTTACCAGCTGAGCTATGAGGGAAGCACTTAAATATGATAAGATAGTAAAACTGGCTTGTCTTAAATTGACTTAAGCTTAAAAGGCTACAGGAGAGCATATAAAAAGAGGCTTAACAAATTTTAACTGGTCAATCAAATTATTAGTAGTAAAGTAGGAAAATTACCTCTATGGCATCCCATTCAAAGTGTAAAATTATATAATAGTCCCCTACAAACCTTGCCAGGCCAAGCAAGAGCATTCATGCTTGATGAATGACAATAGGCCTTCCCAATGCATTTACTATCTTAATATGACCAGGACATGTATCGCCTTAGCTTCTCAACATTTTATTCTCTCATGTGCATTAATAATGTGTACTTCTTCTATGTTTTTGTGTCACCAGTAGTGAAACTTTGACTTGAAAAAAAGAATGTTTCTGAAAAAAATGTTTCCTAGCTTTTTGGTGTGTCAGCTTACTGAAAGAAAATATTTAAATACCTATAATATCTCAGGAACTGATCTTTGTTCTGGAAATACAGCAGTGAGCAAAAAGGAAAGGACAAGGCCAGGCTAGTACTTACAGATTTTGCATTTCTAATTGGGAAGGTAGATATCAACAGATAAATATGTCATATAAATTAAAGTAGTGATGAATAAGTTTAGGAACAAAGGCATAATACGGGGTGGAGACTGATCATGAAGAAGGGTTTGTTTTTTCTGCTGAGTGAAAGTCAATAGTTTGGAAGCTATTTCCATGAAGATGATGATGATATATACATAACATTTGATGGATGCTTACTCCCTATTGGACTCTTAAAATTATTTTATATGAGTTATCTTATTTAGCACAACTCCTTTGTAAAGAGTCTAGAGTAACTGTAAAGTTATAAGACAGGAAATAGAATTCTCGAGAGCTCTAGTAACTGGTCCAAAGACACAATCGCTAGTCAGTGGGAAAGCATGTCTTAAAGGAGACAAGGATGCTGGTAGAGGTGGTGAGAAGAAGTTGAATTGGGGCTCTATTTTGAAGGTAGAGCCAATAGGAATTGATAATGGAGTAGATTAGATGAATTAAGGAGTGAATTGAAGAAAGACTCTGTATGTCACCATCAACCCAAATCATACAGTGCCTGTCCTGCCACGTGGAGAAGGCGGACTTGAGAGAGAGGAAACAGCCAGAGACAAGAGATCACAGACAGAGAGAGAGGAGATCCACTCAAGTTCTTAGTGTTGGGCTTTCCTAGTCTTCCGGAGACTTAGATTTCAATATCCTACTGATTGTTAGCCAATAAATTTCTCTTTTTACTTTCTTAAAAAAAAAAAGACTCTGTAGCTTTAGTCTGAGCAAATAGGTGTGGCTTTGCAATTTAATGAGATGAAAAATGCACTTGGTTGTTGAAGAGAAGGTAGTGTTAAATGAGTTCTCTTTTGAACACGTTAGATTTGAATGGCATTAGACATTCAAGAATATCTGTGTATCTGTAATTCAAGAAAGAGGTTATTACTTTGGGAGTTAGCAGTATAGAGCTAGTTTCTATTGAGATCTATTTCTTTCATTGTCGGGTGTCCTGTTCCATGGTCACTTTCCTTAAGGATGTACTCATTTATTCTGTGAACACAAACTGTGGTGGGAAGCAGTATTGTTGCTTGCCATGGAATGTCATACTTGCTGTCACCATATTTTATGAAATGTGCGCTAGTCCTAAATGTTGAAAATATTTTAAAAGAAGAACTGATTTCTCTTTTTAAAAATATACATATATTACATAGATTTGTACAGATGATAGAACTTATATAAAGTTATATACCTCAAAAATGACTGCAGGTAAAATACTAGTTAAGTATAATGTCTATTTGTTTTTGTTGTTCAGTCACTAAGTCATGTCCGACTCTTTGTGACCCCATGGACTGTAGCCCTCCAATTCTGTCCGTGGGATTCTCCAGGCAAGAATATTGAGTGGGTTGCTATTTCCTCCTCCAGGTGATCTTCTCGACCCAGGGGTTGAACTTGCATCTCTTACATCTCCTGCATTGGCAGGCAAATTCTTATAGTTCAGTTCGGTTCAGTTGCTCAGTCGTGTCCGACTCTTTGTGACCCCATGAACCGCAGCACATCAGGCCCCCCTGTCCATCACCAACTCCCAGAGTCCACCCAAACCCATGTCCATTGAGTTGGTGATGCCATCCAACCATCTCATCTGTTGTCCCCTTCTGCTCCTGCCCTCAATCTTTCCCAGCATCAGGGTCTTTTCCAATGAGTCAGTTCTTTGCATCAGGTGGCCAAAGTATTGGATTTTCAGCTTCAATATCAGTCCCTCCAATGAGCACTCAGGACTGATCTCCTTTAGGATGGACTGGTTGGATCTCCTTGTAGTCCAAGAGACTCTTAAAAGTCTTCTCCAACACCACAGTTCAAAAGCATCAATTCTTCTTCGCTCAGCTTTCTTTTTATTCCATACATGACCATACATTCATACATGACCACTAGAAAAACCATAGCCTTGATTAGATGGACCTTTGTTGGCAAAGTAATGTCTCTGTAGGATGTCATAATTGAGAGAGCTACATGTGGGTATATGTGAGCTTTCTGCTGATTTTTATAACATTTCAAAGTAAAAAATTATATACATAATTATGTATGTATTATATATGTATATACAATTATATATTACACATATTACAAATATGTGTGTACAAATATGCATACATATTTATACATATAAGTTATATATATATATATGTATACACATAATTTTATGTATATAGTTGAATGTCTTACCTTAATTTATGACCTTGATTAGTCTTACTCAGTGTAGGACACCACACTCACATGAAAGCTAGAGGCAGAAGATATCTTTGTAATATATCCAGCTTAATGGGATGCTGATTATATCTTTCATTTATTAATGTTGAAAACTGCAAATACATTGACAGTTTTATTCATATTTCAGTGCTTAAGCTATTCATATGACTAGAATGTATGCATATTTAATGTATCCCAAAAGATGAAATGTGTGGTAATTTGTTTAACTAAAAGGCAGTGGTAAGACACTTTGGCAAATATAATATATTACAAGCATCTTAGGGAGCCAAACAAGTTGAACATGTCAAGGTAATATTTCTGTAATATTCATTGACATCTTAAAATAGCTAGGGGCTATTCAAAAGCATGACTGTAGCATTATTTAATTAACCTGTGAAAAGCTCATTATTTTAAAAACATAAACTCTCTTCATGTCACTTTCTTGGAAATTCAAAATTCCATACTGGTTATATGATTCTTCTACCATTAGTTTGTTCACATTATTTCTGCACTTGTCTTTCTTAATACCAACAATGAGGAATAGAGTTTTAAGTCTGTGATTACCTCTACTTTTTTGTTGTTGTTTTTTTTTGTTGTTGTTTTTAAATATAAATACTGAACAATTTAAAGATCTTGTTGAGAAGTGTCAGCATTATAGTCTTCCTACTTAGTTTTAACAAAATATTGTCTATCTTAAAAATTGTTCTGTGCTGACACCAACATCCCAAAATAATAGCAAAAACTCCCATAAAAACAAACAAACAAACAAAAAAACCCTAAAAAGTGATTAAAAAAGAACCCGAGTAACTGCTTGTAAAATCATAACTTCCTATTGTGCAATTTTAATTTGTTATGCTCAAAGAGCCACTGTTCTTAAAGAAAACAAGTGATTTTCTGAAAATAGATTGAGGATCTTAAGTTGCTTCACTGGTTTGATGTTATACTCTTTCCATCAAGTGGGACTTGACTGATGAAACTGTGAAATGAAGCAGTTTGTACTTTTTGTTCAGAGGGATTATTTTTTCAAATGCTTAGAGGAATAAGAAAGGAAGTGATCATTGTCTGATACTCTACCCGTTTGTGAAACGCTTTTGGAATGAGTATGGTTACTAAACATAGTGTTCACTGAATATTAAAGGCACTAAAATACTGCCCTCTTTTCAAAAGAGCTTATTGTTAAGGGATAAAACTAAAGGGACATGATAGGTTAGGAGTGGTGTGTGATTGAAGATGTGTTGATTTGGCTCTGAACTCAACTGCTTTTAAAAGCTTTTTCAAGATCATGTCAACATTAGTAACCTGATAAATCTGGAGAAAGAGGAGTTGGTAAATTATTGGTTGATGGAGGAAGTAGCAATCAGGGGCATTAAAACACCTCATACTTTTCTTTAGCTCTTATAGATAGATAACAGTGGTTTGCAGGTTACAAGTTACTTTATTCTTAATTAAAATAATGAAGTAAAAAAATCCTTACAGTACTGGATTTATGACATAAATTTAATAAGTGTAAATTATAGGCACTCCCAAAGTTTTAGCTGTTAATTCCAATCCTGTTTTTTCCTAGAGTCTTCTAGAAATGAAACACCTTGATTTGCCTTTTCATCCTATATTTTTGATATTCTGTCAAAAATATTGATAAGCAGGGAAATATTCCAAAAGCTGGAAGAAGCATGCAATGAGAATGAGCATATATTTCTAAAATGAATCATCAATTCCTCAAAATTTTAAATTGATTAAGCTTCATTCAGGAAGACAGGGCTGGAGGATAATTTTAGTGATAAGGCTAAGAGGCAAATCATAAACTTGGATCATCTAATTCTTCATGAAATCTATCAATCACCATTATGTTTTACTAAACTGACTAGCTGGTTGTCACTCATAAAATCATGTTTATCATACTAAAGATAAGATTTACTGAATGAATAGCAAATTCTAGGCACTCTTCTCAGGGGGTTATCATGCATAATCCTGAAAAGTTTGTTAAGGTATCTCTGTCAGATAATTTATTGATCTGGCCAGTATTCATATCATTTATTTTCACTTGGGATATTTGTTTTATTTTCATATCTTCTCTTTCAGCTCTTCTTTATGCAACTATTTTTGGAAATGTTACCACAATTTTCCAGCAAATGTATGCCAACACCAACCGATACCATGAGATGCTGAATAATGTACGGGACTTTCTGAAACTGTATCAGGTCCCCAAAGGCCTTAGTGAACGAGTCATGGATTATATTGTCTCAACATGGTCCATGTCAAAAGGCATTGACACAGAAAAGGTATGGATTATTATAACCATTTTTGTTACTTATTTTATGTTTCAATAGGATTTTCAGATGCATGTAACTTTGTCACTCACATATTACTTGTATGTTATTGTTATTCTGTATTTCACAAGCAAATATCAGTCAATCATATTGTTTAGCACTTAGAAGATAGAAAGCAATCAACCATTAATCATCCATTAGTACTAGTGGTCATCACACTTAATTTAGGGATTATGGCTCCTGAAAACAACTAATTACTTAATTTGCCTAAAACACTGTCATTACCACTCTGAATAATTTTCCAAATACCTCAAAAATGCCTACAGTGTTGTCATTTCTCCTGCTAGATTTTATTCTTGATTTCTCTTTTGGTACTTTGCTCACTTAAAATTTGGAAACGTCCATGCTTATAACTGAAAGATTATATGTCTTCTATTTTATCCTCTACCTAAATTCCTCTTCTCTCTCTTCTATGTTTTATAATGCAACTTAAAATTCTTTGTTTTCCCCATTTCCTTACAAAACTTATGAATACCACCTTTGTAATCCACCTAACAGTCCTAATTTCTTTCTTGTCTTTTCATGGAATATCTAAATTTTTCCCATCTAACTTATACCAGGGTGAAAGAAGAAATCAAAGTTCTCTCATGATAAATAAAGTCAAATTAAAAACTCCTCACATCCTATACCCAACTGATTCACATCTAATGTAGAGAATGACAAGTAGGGCTTGCATATAAGAATTTTAGAGAAAACTGATCTTGAGCTATTTCACTCTATAAGCATTGATGAAGGCTTTATTTTTAGGTACTGATTTTTGACCTATGGTAATCAGTACATTTGGTAATCAGCACATTTTTGACATATGGTAATCAGCACATAACTTGGCCAACAGAAGTCCATATAGTCAAAGCTATAGTTTTTCCAGTAGCCATGTATGAATGTGAAAGTTGGATCACAAAGAAGGCTGAGTGCCAAAGAATTGATGCTTTTGAACTGTGGTGCTGGAGAAGACTCTTGAGAATCCCTTGAACTGTAAGGAGATCCAACCAGTCCATCCTAAAGGAGATTAGTTCCGATTGGTCGTTGGAAGGACTGATGCTGAAGCTGAAGCTCCAGTACTTTGGGCAGCTGATGCAAAGAACTGACTCATTAGAAAAGACCCTGATGCTGGGAAAGATTGAAGGCAGGAGGAGAAGGGGATGACAGAGTGAGATGGTTGAATGGCATCACCAACTCAATGGACATGAATTTGAGCAAGCTCCAGGAGATGGTGGAGGACAGAGAGGCCTGGCATGCTGCAGTCCATGGGGTTGCAAAGAGTTGGACATGACTGAGCAACTGAACCACAACAAATCAGCACACAGTCTTCCTTGCCATTTCCCACAAATTTCGTGTTTTTAATCATAGGAGGTTGACATAGTATTTCTGTCAGTGTCATGGTGAAAGAACCAACAAACAAAGTAGATGTTTAGTTAGGGGAATTTCATGAAGCAAGTAGGAAGTTTTAAGCCAGAACAGGTCTTGTTAGCGGCAGAACGGCTGAGGGGAGTTGAAGGGAATGGACTTGAAAAGTAAGAATTGAAGAAGGGAAGCCTGCAGAGAGTGCAGGTGAGATTCTGGAGGATAGCTGTGTGGAAGAATTATGAAAGCAGGTGAGATTTGCTCATTTCCCCACAGTTTACAAGATGCAATTAAATGGTCCCTTAATGTGAAATATGTGACCACAGAGGGGAAAAGGACAAATTGCACATCTGTGGAATTTGATTAATGTGTGCCTGAAAGTGAGGGAATCCAAAGAAGGAAAAGAATCTTCCTCAGAGGTGCATGTGAGAATCAGTGTTTAAATTGCCAAATGCAGGATATTCTTTGAGGTCCACACTCAGTGAAACTGCACTCAGAGGCAACCATCTACCTTGTCAATCAGTATCTTGGTCAGAAGCTTTTCTTTCCAGAAAATTCAGTGGGGTCTTATGATTGCTGACAGAAAACACCAGTAAAATGTTGAAATGATAGCTCTTTACATAAACCCAGAGCCTATGCCACAGATCTGGTACAGATCTGATCTTTGAGTTCCTTTCTCTTTCTCTGAATTCTCAGATGCTGGGTTAGTTCAATAATGGAATCAACAGATTCTTGCAAGCCTCCCCTCCAGTACCTACTTACCTGTCTGCTTCTTGATACAGTTAGGGTATAATACACTGGCATCGGGTGTGCATGGAAGGGCATCCACAATGTAGTTCTTAGTGTGGACATTATTTTGGTTGTTTGCTATTCACTATTTGTGGTCACAGAAATGTACTTCTGATTGGTAGAATATTCATGGAAAATGGAGTGTTAGGGAAAAAAGATGAAGTTAATATTAAAATTGAAATGAAATTTTTATTCACATGAAAATATTTTTAAAGAAATAAGTAAAAATATTAAAATGAATTAGCTGTTGAATAAAACAAAGTCATAGATGTGCTTTCTCACCACCTCCATTCCTATTACTTGAAGTCACTCTCTTTTGTCCTATGTGAGTTATTTTGTAGCCAAGTGATTGATCTGTGCACCCTCCCCTGTCCCTTTATAAATTATTTTCAAAACAGCAACCAAGCTTTCTATCTTTTCTGTTTCTCTGTTGTATCTCTTTTCATCTTATTTATCTAATCCATCCATCCATCTATTTATCTATCCATGTATCTATCTGTTATATAATTCATCTTTACTTTTGATAATAGGAATGACATTGCTTGAGTCTGTTAAAATAAGATAGATAAAAGAAAATGAAAGTTTGATGACAGTAATCACAAAAATCTTATAGTTGTAGAAATAATCTTAGAAATATGGATTTACTTGAAGGTAGCTTTAGTAAACAACATCTGGTTTTTAAGAGTTATGCTCTTTGATACTGGGCTTCTCTGGTGGCTCAGATCTTAAAAAAATCTGTCTGCAATGCAGGAGACCCAGGTTTGATCCCTGGGTCAAGATATCCCCTAGAGAAGGGGATGGCTACTACCCACTTCAGTATTATTTTCTGGGACAAAAATAATGTGTAAAACAAAATCTTTGTTCTAATGCTTCTCTTGTTGGTTTTAAAACAGCTATATATTTTTTAAGCTGCTGGTACTGTAGAATTTAATGATGCATTGCAGCTAATTAGAGAAAACCTTCACCCCAATTACTGAGATTTCATTTCTACCACTTCCACATATTTAGGTTTATAGACTTTTTTTTTGAATTCAGCTTTAAACCCACAAGCAAATTAATCACTGTGATTTAATTCAGTCTTAACTTGTCTTTTGTGAATAATGCTTTCTCTAACACAAGTTGTGGCATTAAGATCAGTACTGATGTGAAGTTGTAGCATTTTTATCATGAAAGGTTGCCTTAGGAAATTTAAAAATATAGAACAGTATCTAGATTAACTTTATTTGGTTGAAAGTATTTTATTGACTACTAATTACTATAATTGCTTCAGTTTCTTTTAAAATTCAATAACCAAAATCCATCCTCTGGGCTTTGCTACTTGATAACATTCTGTGCACTTAAAAGACAAGAGAAATGGGTGGAATGAGAGGATTTAAAAGGGAAAGAGCAACTCATAGTGGGGAAATAGAAATGATGATAGTTAAACCTAAAAAAGTCTTTCCAACAGTTTGAGGTAACTTTTCTGAGAAATAATTTAAACTACCTAAATGCCTAGAGAGTTTATTTTCAGCTTTAGGACTATATGAAAAAATATATAACTTGTATTATGTTGGGACCACATATTTCTCATAGTACTGGATTTATTTTCTGCTTTTTTGTAGAATAAAGTTTAAAACCTTACCATTTTTTATTTTCCACTGTCTTAACACATTTTTTCTAATATATTCTTTGAAAAATCTTAATAAGAAAAAAGTTCTTTGGTCTTCATTTCTTGTTTCACGTGTTTTGTAATAAGCATGAAGTATCAGTAGGCAGATCCCATTATATGAAAAGTTCTGGCAGAATTATGCAGAACATTCAGGCAGATTTATGCCTTTAGAATATAAAGAAATTGATTTTGAATATGTTAAAATCTTGGATTATTTTAAAAGCATACCTATCACAGAAGCACTTTACTTCTTCCAAATATAGTAGGCAATATATATATTTTTTCTACAAGTTCAGTTCAGTTCAGTTGCTCAGTCATGTCCAACTCTTTGTGACCCCATGAATCGCAGCACACCAGGCCTCCCTGTCCATCACCAACTCCTGGAGTTTACCCAAACTCATGTCCATCGAGTCAGTGATGCCATCCAGCCATCTCATCCTCTGTTGTCCCCTTCTCCTTCTGCCCCCAATCCTTCCCAGCATTAGGGTCTTTTCCAATGAGTCAACTCTTCACATGAGGTGGCCAAAGTATTGGAGTTTCAGCTTCAGCATCAGTCCTTCTAATGAACACCCGGGACTGATTTCCTTTAGGATGGACTGGTTGGATCTCCTTGCAGTCCAAGGGACTCTCAAGAGTCTTCTCCAACCTCAGTTCAAAAGCATCAATTCTTCGGCACTCAGCTTTCTTCACAGTCCTAACTTTCTTTTAATTTGTTTACTTATATATATATATGTGTGTGTGTGTGTGTGTGTGTGTGTGTGTGTTTCAATTTAGAAAAGCCTGTCTAAATATTTCTTTGTATTCCTAAATGTGAAAAACAGGGATGACATTCTTATATATTCATGGTGTCATTATCTTGGTTCAAAATTTAATTTATTTAAATACTTCAAGAAGTTTCTAAAGGAAGGCATAGCTGAACCCAAGTGAAGGCACTAACTTTCTAAGAAGAGCCTCACCTGGTTAAAGATGCCATGTAAGAATACACATGTGAAGATAGTTAAACAAAACTGAATTGATCTTAAGATGAATTAATAGGACTTTTGCATTTGGGTCAAGGGAGGTAATAATCATCCCAATATAGTCCATGCCATTCATATCATAGGCAAAATATTTTAAAGAAATATTATCAAAGACAGTACACTTATGAGATATAATCATGATAATGTAAATT